CAGAAGATGCACATGTAACAGTACATACCTGAAACCTGTTCAACCAGTTTGTTGTCTTTGTACCAGAGAATGCTAGGGATGGGGGTGCCATCAGCCTCACAGCGCATCTCCATGGAGTCACTGACATTCACCATCTTGTCAGTCAGATCAAACCGCATGTGTGGAGCTTCCTGTGCTGCAAAGGAGATGCAGTGCTTTAATAAAGATCTTCACTTTTTTATGGTACATTTCCCCCATTGTTATCATCATACACTGTATGTTACAGGCCATTTAAATAAAGAGGTGTCTTAGTACTTTGCATATTGATGAAAAAAAACCTTACCAACTCTCCAGAGTTAGGAACTGGCGACTAACTAGAGGGGCCGAGCAACGCCTCGAGCAGAAATGGTGTTCTTTTCTGAGTTTTTTCTTCTTGAAACTTCAGACCTAAATTGATGGACATACAGCTGGCTTGTATCTCTCACTCACACAGATCTCTCACCCACAAATATAATGAAGTGGCCCCATGGGATTGTGAGCCCTGGCACCCCTTGTTAGAGTTAAATAATCTTGTTTAGCTGTTATTAGGGTCTTTTGTTTCTGGGCAGCTGTTGGCACTCCTTTTTATCTATTTCAGGTAACCCTTTCCTGTATCCAGACAGACTCTGAGCTAGCAGCTGTCACTAAGGAGATCAGCTTGTTGCTTATTGTTTTAGGATTGGTTAAGGAGTTTTGGAGGGAAAACAGTATCCAGTTGTACCTGGTGATTTTCAGAAGTTAGATCTTCAGTCAAGACCAGCTGTCCCACCTGCCCTGACCTTTGTTGCGGCTATCCTTTGTTGGGGATATAGTTGCCCACTAGGTGGACAGTGTCATTCAGAACTTTAATGGACTGTTACTTTCAGCTCTAGTCTTGAGCCTTGGGGTTTGCTATTTGTTTCAAATATTATTGGTTTGTTTATAGTTATTTACATAAGTTTAACCACATACCCGTACGTCAATGGACATTTAGTGGTTATACTGGCGTGAGGTAGCTGCAGGCATCACCTTGATATCACTTTTTAGAGCTGGCAGTCAGCTCTGTTGTACAAGCAAATGGAATGGCTAACTAGCCGCTCGATTGCCTGTACAAGCACCGCGAGGGGGCGTCTCCAACCCTCCCGCTGCTTTTGTGGCTCTCTCGGGATCTCCCATCCCACCAGGTGACCTGAGTGACTAGCTGGCATGTCTGTCAGCCAAACAAAGCCGAGATTGGCTTTGATCACCTCTCTCCCTTATGGTAAACCTTAAGTGATGACCTGACATCACTTCCAGTTTTCTCAGAAACTATTGTTGCCATTTTTAAAACTGAAATCATTGAAAAACACAGGTCTTGGTGTTTTGAATACTTTCAAGTGCAGAGGAGGGATTTGGTGTCTTATAGACACCAGATCCCTTTATAAAAAATACCTGTCATGTGTCTATTGCTGTCACAAGGGATGTTTACATTTCTTGTGACAGCAATAAAAGTAATAAAAAAATAATAATAAAGCAACAGTATAAAAACTGAAAAAAGTAGTAATTAAAAAAGTGCCCCCTCCCTGTGCTTGTGCACAAAGGTGAACGCACGCGTTGGTCCCGCACACACGGAAACAGGAATCGTCCCACACATGTGAGGTACCCTCGTGAATGTCAGCTCATGGGCAGTAATTCTAGCACTAGACCTAGTGTGTAAATCTAAAGTGGTAACCTGCTTTTAAAGCATCGCCTATGAATAGTAAAATTTACATGCTTTGTCGCCATTGCACGGGTGCACGCAATTTTAAAACATGACATGTTTTATAACTATTTACTCGGCGTAACATCATCTTTTATATTTTACAAAAACTTGGGTTATCTATTGTGTTTTCTGCACTACAATTCAATAAAGTGCATTTTCCCCAATAAATTGCATTTGGAAAACTGTTTTGCAAATACCGTGAGTCATAAAAAAATGCAAAATCCACCAATTTGTTCTTTAGATCCTCTGCTTTAAAAAATGTATAATGCTTGGGTGTCTAAGACATTTCTAGCAAAAAATACTGATCTTAACATAGAAACAAAAAGTGCCAGAAATGGCCTTGAGCAGAAATGGAAGTTTATAAAAATAATTATTTATGAGCTTTTAACCCCAATAAAGGGCTGTAGCCTAATATTTTCCAAAGATATTTGTGTTTGTTGTTTTATTTAATTAACACCTTTTTTCAGGAGATTTATTATTACCTGTTGAAAAGGGGTGCTTATGGGGTCTGCAATCCCATGTGGCTTATGGTGGCGCCAATTAAGACACTCTGAAAAAAGACCAGCAATCAATATAAGATGTAGCTCTTGACAAAGAGGGCCTGTGTGCCTTTGAAACATGCATCAGTGATTGCTGTTTGCGGATAAAGAGCTATATCTTATATGGAGTGTTAGCCTTTCTTCTGCATCTTTCTATGAAGGTGCAAGATGGTATACCTGTTGCTTTCCATGGGGCACTTATAAACAAGAAAAACATTTTAAAAAGTTTGAACTGGGTCCAGAGGATCAGCTGCTATTTAAGGATCTGTGCATCTTATCAATCAATCAATCAGAAAGAAGCAATTGGAACTTTTGGCCATTAAAATGCTACAAAATGTGTACAAAATGAACTTAAAGAATTTAGTAACCAGTGTATATAGTTTCAACCATTTGTATGTTAGTCTAGTACTCCCCTACTCCAACGAATTTACAAAATAGACACATAACAACCTCAATTGTGATTTTACATGATCACAAGGTTGGAGTAAGCTGCATACCAAAATATAGCGAATAGAAAAGGCAGTTCACTGTGTGGCACTTAATAATTAACTTCACACATTATTCATATGATTGACCTGAAATGGTGTGTGTTGTGTTACCTTAAATTGTACGCCCCTTGAGGGTTATGGACTGATGTGAATGTACAATATATATGTAAAGCGCTGCATAAATTGACGGCGCTATATAAGTACCTATAATAAATAAAATAAATAAATAAAATATTTGCATTTAGCCAAAAATGGGTTAAACATGGTGCATATGAAATAACATTTGTGGGTTTTTTCCTGGTTAAAAAAGACACCCTCATATGTCCTCTAACAATATTGTATGGTTTGGAAATGAAAGCAGCCCATTCTTACCATTGCCATTTGCTGAAGTTTCTTTACCAACCTAACTTTGTATCCATCACTTACAGCACCAAAAGGCTCTCTCCCGCAGTTGATCTCAGGTTCCAAACCTGTACCAACCACATCTTCCTACACAGGTTAGTTCTGTTTTCTCACACACCACCTCAGGTTCCAGCCCAAGGTGTCATTATTTCACGTTACGATTTGATAATATTATTACACTTTTTTATATTTTTTTTTTACCTAAGGGTAAAGATCCTCCATACAGTGGTTCTGGCATCTTGCAATTATACATATAAACAATTGTTGATATTTTATAATTTTTAGAATCTTTGCATAGAAGGATTTACTGTACCCATTAATTTTTATATACATTTTCTATTTTTTTTTTTTGCTGACTAGAATAAATTCTAAAAGGTATACGTTTTTCTCTACACCTTTACTGTGTCTTTTACTGCACACTTTTTTACTGCATCCATGTAGCTGTTTTTTACATAAGCCCAAAAGTTCTTGTTTCTGCATACTTCAGTTATGTGATATTTATCTGTTTTCTGTACACTAGCCATGATGAAAGGGAGGCAATTGCTCTGGCTTTTTACCTGTGAACTAAGTGCTTCGATAAACCTCTTAAAATAAAACCTCAGTTGTGACTCACTTCTACACAACACACCCCTCTAAACCTGTTCTAGATCATCCTGACATATCAAGGATACTACACCCCACTTATTTACAGCCATGCCTTGCCAAGCTTGGTGGACTGTTAAAAGTTATGCAAGGGCACTACTATTGATGTAACACAATTGTGATCTTTTTTACTTTATTGCGTAAGCAGGGCAGCCACAGAGGTGCCCAACAATAGCCTCAAGTGCACCACTTGTTTTTGGTTATGCCATATTTACCAGAATATCAACCAAAGCCCGACAAATTGTTTTTCAAGATTTCAGCTATTAACAAAGAATTCTGGCATCTACCAAAGGGCATCAACCAAATTTTGGTACTCACGAAGTACAGAAATGTATTTCTTCTGACAGTGCTTCTCCCGGGTTTTGCGGTTCTGGACCTCACAGACATAATCACCTTCGTCTTCCAGGGATATGTTGGGGATATTGAGTACCAAAGATGCAGCATTGGTTCCTGACTCTTGCCTCAGCTCTCCTTTCATACGAGCAGCATACTGGTGCACATTCTTACATTCCAGGACAAGAGGGTTCCCCTCTGCATCATGTAGAGTGAGTAAGTTAAGACGATACCACTGCAGGTTCTCATAGGTATAATTATCTGCATGGCAGCTCAGACTGAGATTTTGTCCTTCTATAGGCTCTTGGGAAGGCTGGGGATCAATACGGAATCCATCTGGGATTGCTGTGAAGAAGAAATTTGTCAGCGTTAGCAAGGACACTAATAATGCTTTAGGTAAACCTACCACCTGAATGAACTTAAATAAAGGTTTAACTATAACCACAGCACCATCTATCTGCTTTGGGTCCAGCACTGTTTGGTAAGTCAGTGATTTATTGCAGCTAATAATGTCATGTGGCAAACACATTTGAATAAAAAGAATATATATAAACGTTGGAACCTGTTTCCAAATGTGATGAAAACAATTGGTGTTCTACATTTTTATAAGGAGACCAGCAACAGAAGTCACATGCACATTAAAAACAGAAGGAGAATTTTACAACTGACATTCACATGAAAGCTACTTATGAGCTTAACCGTAGCTACTAAAGCTAATTTTTAAATGGGCAATTTATACATTTTAGGTCACTTTTAGAGAGCATATGAATAGCTCTGCATGACTCCCGTGTTTTTAATCCATTTCCATTGTCACTTACTTGTCACATAGAAGTAGATAAGTCTCTCATCTCTCCCGGCTTTGTTGGAAGCTGAACATTTGTACATGATTGATAGGTTAGCTTTTTGTATCACCAGCTTGCTCACAGTCTGCAAATACGGAAAGACAGTATTATTACTAAAGAGACAAAAACATTTCTTCCATTTTTCTTTTCCTAAAAATTGTACAAATATGAGGTGAATTACCAATAAAAACAGTTAGATCCTTGCTTAGGCTAATCAGGAACCTAAGCCATCTAAGAAAGATTCATTTTGGAGCTAGTTGCTTGTCTACAAATGAAGCATGCAAAATATTGATCTTTTACAGATTGAAGTTGCCGGAAAATCTGTTGGGTATATGTAAAACGTTCTCCAGTCTTTAATAACCTTTTTCATGTATATATTGCCATCTTAAGACACACCTGTCTTTAAAGCTGAACTCTGGGCACAAAAACTTTGATTTAAATATTTTCCTCAATAGCAAAAAGTACATATATCCACTTCCTGTGCATTAAATTCCTATACAAACTTACAGTAGATATTACCCTGTAAAAGTAGCCGTGACATAATCATTGATCTGTAGAAAGACCGTACAGACAGCAGAGCTATGGGAGGAACCCAGCAGGCTTTATCCACTACAGTCTGCAGAAAACTACAGGAGGGTAGAGGATACATGACCGGTCAACCTTCACAAGGTGAGAGAGCAGCACTGACTGGTCTTAAATATAGGAAGCACCTGCACAGAGGCAAAGTTTCACACTGAATTACTGCTCAGATCTGAATTAAATTCACAAAGCACACCAAGAATCAAGAAAGAATACACATGCAATATTTCTTATCCTGGAGTTCAGCTTTATAGGTAACATAATTTGTCTATAGAGTCCTTGCCTGCAGTGACAATTCTGAAATAAGAAGGATCCTGTCACCATAAAGAGGCATATGGATGAAATTCTAACAGTTGCAGATACCCATTAAAGCTACATGCACAGCAGCTTGGCCCATGTGTATTAAATTCTGGTGTTTTGGGGTATCCAGGAGGCACAGGTGCAGTGTTCAACTCTGCTGTCAACAACCTGTCAAAATCTACAACAAACAAATATGGAGTGGCCGTGGGCTGTATTGATGAGTGTGTGCATTTAGGACCACATGGGTTTCTGGTGTTGTATGCCCGGGACCGCAGGAATTTTGTATTCCAGGCATGTGCCCTAAATGCATACTGTATAGTACATGAGTACCGATTGGTAGAGGAATCAGGGCTGGACAAAAATGCTGGAATTTGACGCACCTGTCAAATCACCCATATGCATGTGGTCTTGAGAGATGGTAGTAGTGCTGCGTAACTGCAACAGTAAAGAGGGAAGTTTTGGGCTAACAGCTTGTTATCGTGACAATGACCAATTTGCTACAACACTGCTATAAATAAAAAAATGCATTGTCATAAGTACAATAGAAGAAAGAAGAAGAGAAAACTAACTTTAATCAGGATGTGTGATATATTACATGGTTAGTATGCCAGAAACTGTCACTTACTAGATCAATCTTTCTCACCCTTGGAAGGAACCCTTGAAATAAACATTTCTGGTCTCAGGGAACCCATTGCTCAAATTAATTCAGGGGTCAGTGAGAAGAATGCCCCTTACATTGGTGGTCATTGGAAAGAGTGCCCCTATTACAATGGTGGTCAGAATGCCACCCTTACAGATAGCTAAAACGATCATTGGTGTCATTGTCATTTTGCTGGCTCTGCTAAGTGACACTGGACCTGGGACCACGCAGGAACCAACAGATGGAGGTCAATCAGCCACAATTCAAGAAACCCCTCGCAACCTTTGGAGGAACCCTAGGAACCCTGGTTGAGAATGGCTTTGTGAAGACTGGACTGTATACATGTACTTTGGTAGTTTGTAGGTTAAAGCCTCACATTGCATTCTCTTGTTTGACTCTCTCATGAACCAATTATATATATATATATATAAAATATATATATATATATATATGAAGGAGGAGCCGTACGTTGTGACGTCACGCCGCCGGAGCCACACAAAGGTCTGGCGGCCATTTTGGAGAGTGGCTGATCAGCCACATGCAATACTCTTAGGATATATTAACGTTTTCATACTTTTTATACATTATATGAACTTATAACTGCTGGATGATCATCTATATACAATAAATACCATTTAATTACTACACTATGAGGCATTTATATTATTGGCTCTGACCTGAGCTAAAGATTACTGAGGACCCCAGAGGAAGCGTGGCTGCAGAGGAGGCTTGTGTCCAGAGGAGGGCTTCAGGTGTTCCAGGCTGTCTGACAGATCTACCTAAAGGGGCTCCCTACAGAGTTATATTCAGCTTAATGCACATGTTTTATGTGCAACTGGTGAGTGCGCATTTTATACAGTATCTCACACGGATTGAATCGCACGGATTTGCTGGAAGTCACAAAGTATTATATGTGGATGGAGCGCTAATTTGCTGACCTGACCACGTCAAGCCTGCACTATCTTTGAACACTTTCTTGGTTTATAGACTATTGATACAATCACGTTCTTGTTTGGCGCTTGATAATACGCCACATTCACTTACATTTATGTGATACTGATTATTATTGTTGACTAAATGTATTATTATTATTATACAGGATTTATATAGCGCCAAGAGTTTGCTCAGTGCTTTACAATATAAGGGAGACAATACAATTACAATACTTTCAGTACAGAAGGAATAGGAGGGCCTTGCTCGTGGAGCTTACAATCTAAAGGAAGGGGGAGGTGATACAAAAGGTGATAGATAGCTGCGGGGGATGATCTGGTGGAGGTGCATTGTGTGCTTTGAGGTGGCATTCAAAATTAATAGCACCTGGTTTTAAAGTCGCCAAGCCTGCATTTCACCACGCATTAAATTTATTTAGTATTAGTTTTTTTAGCACTTCATCTTTTTTATATTTATTGATGTTTACTAAGTTTTAGGGTTCCTACATTGGTGCATATGCAGCTGGTGACACTTATAATTTATATAAATTTTTTATTTGTTTTGATATGATGAGACCTCTAGTAAAGTGCTGGGAATCCATGAGCTGTTTGACCCTTGGGTCCACAGAGGAAGAGTGCCATGATCTACTGACTAAATCCTGACAGTTTCCAGGTAGAATTGGGACATGTTGTATGGGAATTATAGCGTGAACTGAGAAGAAATTTCATCACTGTCCTTTCAACAATAACCTGTTTCTTGTGAAGGGAACAGATGTGTGACAGAAAACAGGAAAGCTGCAATATGAAGGCGTGGCCCTGTAACGACAGTGAGTAAAGGAAACAGGAAGTTAACTAGCTTAGCTAAATTTTAGAGACTGTTTTCTGTCTAATTTTAAGCCCTGAAAGCAGGTAATTACTCCTAGGGAATCTATTCAGTGCCAGAACTCACCAGGGAACACAGACAAAGGTCAACAGATTTTACAAATGTTAGTATAGGTCACACTGTTTGCAAGATGTTGACAACGCAACATACAGGCATGGCGGTGTATCCTGACAGGAAGCGGGTCTTGTTGCACGCTGTGGATTTTTCTTTAAAAAAGGAAAAACCTTCACTTTAACGACACAAGGATCTAATTATAGGGCCATTTGTCAATAGGTGCTGAAACACATCATTATAGCTTTGAGAAAGTGAATGTCCAGAATGTCATATTTAGTGAAAGTAAATCTGCCTTGATTTTGGCACTGTATATGCTGTTACAAGATATACAATGCATACAGTATCTGTTATCCAGAAACTCATGGTAAGAGGTGTAACTAAATGTGACAGGACCCCTATGCTAAATACAGATATGGTCCCTGAAATTTTTTATATTGAAGAAATCTGGAAAAATTAGGTGCACACATTAAGAATGGAGAAATATACAATACAATTCACACTTTTCTTGGTTTTAACATAAGAAAGATTTCAGTGATGTATTAAATGTTCAAAAAGTGTACAGAGGGTAGTGTGAGGGTGTTAAGATGTAACAGGATATCTGTACAGTTGCAAGAAAAAGTATGTGAACCCCTTGGGATTATGTGGAGTTTTGCATGAATTGGGCATAAAATGTGCTCTGAACGTCATCTAAGTCACAACAATAGAAGAACACAGTCTGCTGAACATAATACCACACAAACATTAGATGTTGCCATGGTTTAATTGCACATAACATGTAAACATTCACAGTGCTGGGAGGAAAAAGTATGTAAACCTTTGGACTTAATAACCGGTTGACCCTCCTTTGGCAGCAATAACCTCAACCAAACGTTTCCTGTAGTTGCAGATCAGACCCGCACAACGATCTGGAGTAATTTTGGACCACTCCTCTTCACAAAACTGTTTCAGTGTAGCAATATTCTTGGGATGTCTGGTGTGAATCGCTCTCTTAAGGTCATGCCACAGCATTTCAATTGGGTTGAGGTCAGGACTCTGACTGGGCCACTCCAGAAGGCGTATTCTGTGCTGTTGCAGCCATTGTTTTGTTGAATTACTTGTATGCTTTGGGTCATTGTCCTGTTGCATCACCCATCCTCTGCGGAGCTTCAATTGGCAGACAGATGGTCGTACGTTTTCCTGCAAAATGTCTTGATAAACTCTGGAATTCATTTTCCCATCAATGACAACAATCCGTCCAGGCCCTGAGGCAGCCAAGCAGCCCCAAACCATGATGCTCCCTCCGCCATGTTTTACAGTGGGGGTGAGGTTTTGATGTTGGTGTGCTGTGCCTTTTTTTCTCCACACATAGTGTTGTGTGTTCTTCCCAAACAACTCAATCTTGGTTTCATCTGCCCACAGTATATTTTGCCAGTAGTGCTGTGGAACATCCATGTGCTGTTTTGCAAACTTCAAACGTGCTGCAATATTCTTTTTGGACAGCAATGGCTTCCTCTGTGGTGTCCTCCCATGTACTCCATTCTTGTTTAATGTTTTCCTTATTGTAGATGTGTCAACAAAAATGTTAGCATGTGCCAGAGATTTCTGTAGGTCTTTAGTTGACACTCTGGGATTCTTCTTTACCTCATGCAGCATTCTGGGCTGTGCTCTTGCAGTCATTTTTACAGGACGACCACGCCTAGGGAGAGTAGCAACAGTGCTAAACTTTCTCTATTTGTAGACAGTCTGTCTTACCGTGGACACATGAACATCAAGGCTTTTGGAGATACTTTTGTAACCCTTTCCAGCTTCATGCAAGTCAACAATTCTTGATCGTAGGTCTTCTGAGAGCTCTTTTCTGCGAGGCATGGTTCACATCAGACAGTGCCTCTTGAAACCAGTAAACCCCAAAACAGGTGTGTGTTTTTTAAGGGCAGGACAGCTGTCAGCAACACATCCAATATCATCACACTGATTGGAGTCAAGGTTGGCTCACTCTTGGCTCCAATTAGCTCTGGGAGAAGTCATTAAGCTAGGGCCTCACATACTTTTTCCTCCCTGCACTGTGAATGTTTACATGTTATGTGCAATTAAACCATGGCAACATCTAATGTTTGTGTAGTATTATGTTCAGCAGACTGTGTTCTTCTATTGTTGTGACTTAGATGATGTTCAGAGCACATTTTATGCCCAATTCATGCAAACCTCCACGTAATCCCCAGGGGTTCACATACTTTTTCTTGCAACTGTACAAGTGTAAAGCTGGCCATGCACAGAAAGAGTTTTGGTCAAAAATGGTTATTTGCAAAACATTCATTCAATTGTCTAAAGGTTTTTGGGGACAATTCAATGGGGTTGATTTACTAAAGGCAAATAGACTGCGCACATTGTAATTGCAGTTGCACAGATTGCAGAAGCACAATAGCTCCCGAGCTTGGTAAATGTGGGGATGCTGTGCAGACTTCCATCATCCTATCATGTGCAAGCAAAAATGTATATTTTTTTTTCCTTGCATGTGATTGGGTATTCTTTGCAAAGTAGGTTCACTTCGCAAAGAATACCCAATCACATGCAAGGAGCTCTAGAGTATATGCTCTTGCAGAGTGCAACTGCAATGCAAAGTGCACACTCTATTTGTCTTTAATAAATCAACCCCAATGACTTTTTTTGACCGTAGTAAAGAAAATTTGAAGGCAAAGGATGGAAATTTTTTCTTGTTTCATTGTGAGCAAGCGAAATTCTAACTGTGAATGTGGCTTATGTTCAATAAAAATCATAGGTAATTCAGAAGGAGAAGTAGTTCTTGTCATAAACATTTGTTTGATTTATATATGGCATGTGGTAGGGTCGCAGGCATTAACATTACATTACTTTCATGCCCAAAATTGAACAGTAAAATTCAAATCACTGGCATGGTAATCAAATGAAAATAATAAAGTTGAATTCAAATCTAGAACTAAGTTTAAAGAGTAACTCCACTTTTGTTAAGAAAAAAACATTCCCCTCTAGGTGATCTATATACATTTCAAGGATTTTAACAAACTTTGTTGCAGATTCCCACCTTTTGTTATTTTATATAACTAACTGTTTGTTTGTCTCTGCCCATGTGCAGAGTGAATCTATATGGGAGTGATTTTATAATTATCAATCACCTGCTGCACCTGCAGGGCTCTAATAAGGAACGTGGCAGGGTCTGCATCCCTTTAGATGTGATTTTCATTTAGCTGTATCTCACCAATAATTACATTTTGTTGTAGGGGACTCCAAAAATCTGACTTGCTTCTTAGTGCAGACCTCTGGGAAAAACAGTAATCCAATCACACAAGCAGGAAATTACATTTTAGGGGGCATTCTGTATACCATCTGCGTACAGAACGTATCCAGATAACCATATAGCATTGAATTTTACAGAAAATTACAGCTCTGCAGACCAAAAAGTAAAGGCCATTTCTAATAACATTCAATTACAATATGACTTGAGTCAAAAATGTAAATGCTCTTTTATTCTTTTTTTTTTTTACATTTGATAATGTTTTTTCCCACAAATGTGGAGTTACCTGTTAATATCTCATTACATCTACACAAGCTGGAAATGAGGCTTGTAGTGATTATATTTGGACCAAATTTGCTCATGAAATGTTTTTCCTCTTTATATCCTTCTTTTATGCCTAGAGCCTAGACCAGTGGTGGGCAACCTTTTTTTTCAACTGAGCCAAATCTTGCCAAAACCACGATTGAAATTTATTTTGAGAGCCACATTTTTAAAACTGAAAATACATAGGATGGTACACTGTTTTTAGTTTCAATAAGTTTTTATAGTAATTCATCCCCCATAGTAATTCATCCCCCATATAGTAATTCATCCCCCATATAGTAATTCATCCCCCATAGTAATTCATCCCCCATATAGTAATTCATCCCCCATATAGTAATTCATCCCCCATAGTAATTCATCCCCCATATAGTAATTCATCCCCCATATAGTAATTCATCCCCCATAGTAATTCATCCCCCATATAGTAATTCATCCCCCATATAGTAATTCATCCCCCATAGTAATTCATCCCCCATATAGTAATTAATCCCCCATATAGTAATTCATCCCCCATAGTAATTCATCCCCCCCATATAGTAATTCATCCCCCATATAGTAATTCATCCCCCATAGTAATTCATCCCCCATATAGTAATTCATCCCCCATAGTAATTCATCCCCCATAGTAATTCATCCCCCATATAGTAATTAATCCCCCATATAGTAATTCATCCCCCATAGTAATTCATCCCCCATATAGTAATTCATCCCCCATATAGTAATTCATCCCCCATAGTAATTCATCCCCCCTATAGTAATTCATCCCCCATAGTAATTCATCCCCCATATAGTAATTCATCCCCCCTATAGTAATTCATCCCCCATAGTAATTCATCCCCCCTATAGTAATTCATCCCTCATATAGTATTTCATCCCCCACAGTACTATTCCCCCCAAGTAGTAAGCCAAGTCCCCCCTGTGTCAATTCACTTACCTTTGCTCCGCGCGTTCCTCTCGCTGTGTTCCCGCGCCGTCCCGGTCTTCAGGGCGGACTGTGAGAGGAGCCTAGCTCCTCTCACGTTCGTCACGCTGCCCCGCCTACACACATCCTGACAGCCAATCACTGGCTATCAGGATGTGAGTGGCAGCGAGACTGGCCAATCATTGCATTTGAGCGCGCTGCCCTGATTGTTTTTTTTTTTTGGATCATGCTGCAGAGTCCCTGCCGCCCGAGAGGAGGGAGGGGAGCGGGCGCCCGGCACACAAGAGCCGCATTAAAGCGTGTAAAAAGCCGCATGTGGCTCGCGAGCCGCGGCTTGCCGACCACTGGCCTAGACCATTCTTTAATGTTCCAAAGTTTCCTGAACTCCATCCTTCCTAATTATGCAATTAGCTTAGAAAAAGATATGTATTCAACAGTTCTGATCCAGAAGACAAATCTATATGCACCCCAAGCAATTGAACAGTTTTTCTTCAGAAGGGAAAATAACATTTTGCAGTTTTAAATTCATCAATATTAGTTAGATCAATAAATTAATAAAACAATGAAATATGCCATCTTTCAGCATTTTTAAATTTAGGTAAAGGAACAAAGATATGCATGAAAAAAATTATTGTTTTTCTTTTTTATGACCCATAACAGATCTAAATCAATTAAATTATTACATATTTTATTCTTCTCATAAATATTTTAAGAATTTCCATGAAAGTACTAGTGTATTTTTAAAACAAAAAACTCTTAGGTGAACAGATAAGTGATGCATTTTGTTGCTGCTTAAAAAAGAAATGCACATTTCTTAAGCTCAGCAGCACAGAGAGTTTAAAACTGGCATAAAAGATAGCAAGAGGAGTTGAAAAAAAAAAGTTGAGAGGAGATGCAGGTAATGTGACCCATCAAAGTCACAGTTACATGATCGGCACACCCCTAATCACAATCCTCACACCTCCAATCTGCAGCGCTGAAACTTTGGCTCACATTTAATGAATGGGTTGTAAAATACGGGCTGTGGTGTGCATAGCTGAGCAGAATAGAATGGAAAGCATAAAAAAATATCTGCTCTCCCTATAAATGAGTCCTTGAATGCATTTTGTGAGATTAGGCTAGATTTAGCATTAATTATTTAACATTTGTAGAGAATCCTATTAATATCAACAAGAACAACAGAAAAATTAATTTGATGTAGTAGTAGAAATGGTGTTACTATCTTTGTATGTATTATTGATATTTTTCTGATTACCACAGAGATTAAATAAATGTATTCAGTACAGGGGTCTATTTAGAAAAAAATTCTAAGAAGATTTTTACAACCTTCACCTTTGATTCACACATTTTTCAATTTATAATTTTTGTTTTAAAGAATTTCAATGAGTACAGATTTTCATCATTATTTTTTAGTATTAATATGATTGCTGTCTTTTAATGTTTAATTGTACCTTCCTAGCTGCATTAGATTCATTCTGGCATTGAATTGCTAGTATATAGAAGTTTGTGCACCATCCAATATTTGTTCTGCTTGAATAGCAGTTTCATATTGTGAAGGATTAAATGTAATGCTTCAATTATAACTGCACTTTTAACCCAGGAAAATTACCCCTGTGGTCTTTCTTCTTTCTTCTATGAGATTTTTTTTTGGGCATTTCCTTGATTGAAAAACAGATTGAGTGCGGGCGCTTATGTTGCTGTATTGTGGATAATTGACTTCCCCAATAATACATGATTGTTCCTGCCAGGATGACTTTAGGAAGTGCAATGCAATCAGGGAATATCACCCCGAGGCTGTTTGGATACCTTATTCCGCCCCTCCACAAACTCGCTCCAAGTCTCTATGCTTTCAATGCTGTTTACATCCCCATCCAAAGTCACGTCCTTCCAGTCTTTGCACTCAGGCATTCGGTCACGTTGATGTCTACGAGATGACCTTTGGCGGACTCTGTATGGTGGGAATACCCAAGAGAATGTATGATTTACAACATGGTATAACACATTGAAGTACATTGCTGAAATTCAGTTAATCTAACCCATAAGTTGTTATCTGTTAAATAATAACTCCTGCAAACACAATGTGCATCTTAAATGGAAATGTAACAACCCAAAAGCTTCAGAAAAAAAACACAAAAAATATATTATAGATAACATGAACAAAAATTAAAATAATTGGGACTAGTATGTGCCCTTCCTTCCTTTTCAGTGTGTTATATTTTTTAATAGATGTATCAATGTTCATATTTTTTACAGTAGAATCATGTGTTCAGAGGCACCTTAGTCATATCTGTGGCTTATTTGAAAATGTATACAACTGGGACTTCAGCTTTAATTTAGGTTTCAGGCTTGAATGTAGATATTACAAAAGGATTTACTGAGTATGAGATCCTTATGCTTGCTTAATGCCTCCAGAAGGGCCAGTTTGGAACAGTATGCTAAAGTAAATGGTGCACCCAAATAGCTAGGTGTAACATTTTCTTTGAGCTCCACCCAATTTTGCATAGCTATTGACTAACACCACTTATTCCCCCCAATACCTGGCCCCTTTGCAGGGCCAATTGCTGATGATTCTACTTGTTTAACATACAAAAGGAACAACCTTCAGAAACACCAACCCTTTTGCCAAGTGTTATATTTGCCACATCACCATTTTGGACCTTGCCTATGCACACAAACATTATTGGAAGCAAAAGTGCACCTTCCCTGTAGTAAAAATATGAATATGAAAGTCTAATTGAAGTCATGGAAATTTATATTCATAAAGATGGAAATTGTACTACAAAAACCCAATTTTCATTATCTTACATCCACCTACCTGTTATAGCAGTTGTCCAGCATGTCTAAAGAGGACTACATTGTCCAGTAGGCATGAGAGTTTGACCACACCGAGTAGTGCACTCTGTGATCTAACAGACCTGGACAGACAGCACCACCTTTTCTTCCTCAGTAGCACAAGTCTGTGTTAGGACGCCTGTGATGAAAGGCGAGGGGGAGGTACTTATGTTGGTTTATAACAGTAATAAGGTGGGTATTGCCACTGAGGTGATAGGGCAATGACACTGTTGCAAAATTGCAGTGTCTGAAATGTGTGGTCTCCATCCTTATGCTATACAGCAATAGCATAATCTGTTTTACATGTCATTACCAATATAATGACATGTAAAAAAGGAAATGTGTATGTATATATATCAGTTGGGGTTGTCAACTTATCAATTTAAATACGAACACAATGCAATCTTTTACAGGTTATGTCGCTAAGAAGGCCACAGAAAATGTTGTGATTGAGTCTAATCAACCATGGAGCCTATATAACCAAAGGAATAATAGCTGTAGCTGCACAGGTTGCTGCAAGTGGGTTCAGGTGCCATTGGGTTACGCTGCAATTTCCTATTATACACAGGAGGAGTAGATGGGGCCACTGAGTCCCTTTTCCCCTGTTATCACTTACTGTACATGTATTGGAACATAAAGATGCATCCTTCATATAGTTATCCCCCTCGTTTTAGAATTATAGTATCTTAACAATGATTGAAGTGAAGTGCTCACCTCCTTCCTGGCCTGGCTTGGAGGCATTTAGTCTGTGTAACATTGTGGCCTCCTTCACACCACACAAAAACTCAGGAAAAAAAATGCACAGATTTGATGTGCTTGTAATATTTTAAAACTTGGTAGTGAGTTACAAGATGAGAGCCAGCATCAGGGAAATGATCGGTGTGAAATATGTATGGACACAAGAACTAAGAAGACCCCAGAATTTACATGATAGTTTCATCTCTGGGACTGAATAGTCCAGAAAGTAGATGCTGACCCTGGATGATGCCTTCTGGAGAGAAAAGCAGATGAAGGCATTGTCAGTAGGAATACTGAGATCTCTGAGAGGTGATGAGTAACTGTAAGGCACCATTCGCACCAGCGTTTAGCCATGCTGTGAATCCCAGCTGCAAGAATCTACTGATTCCTGCTGCTGTTATTGACTGCTAAGCAGATAGCAGTGGCCCCTGAGCCTGTGCACTGCAATGACAGGCTGTCCAAGACCACAGCTATTACTGACTCTTCGCACAGCCAGCTATCCCCTGAAGCTGGCCAATTGGGAGATCAAGTGAGCAGTGCCCAGGGAATGGGTCAGTATACACTTTCTCTACAGGCTAGTTAGTATAGGACTTAGAATTGTGGTGGGAGCAAGTTTAAGATTAGATTTTAGATTAGATTTTAGGCTTGACCTCTATTTTAACACAAAAAAAAATCTGGTCCTGAATAAACCTTAACTAGTTGGGAAAAAGGGGGGTTTTCTCAGGAAAACAGGTGTAGGTGTAGTCTTTGGCAGTAAAGGGGGAAAATCCAAGAAATTGATAGCTGAGTCTGTAATATGTCTATTTGGAAACCTGTTTTTATTCTGAATATTTTCCCCCAATTGTCTGTTTTTTTAGTACTGTCCAGCTGTTCCACTTATTCTCCTTTTTTGCTGCAAGCTATATTTATTTCTTAACGATCACTGTTTATTTGACTTTTTAAGTAAATGTTTGATAAAACTACCAGAAAGGAAAATGGTATTCTATTACTGACAAAAACAATGAAAATATTTAAAATATTTAAAAAAAAATACATCCCTACTTTATCCTTCCCTTTTTTAATTATTTTAAGAGTCTCTCTATTTCCTAGAGCCAGGGACTATGTTACCACTGGGAAAAAGACTGCTGAAAAATTGAGTGTACCTGTTGCAAAAGTGCCTGTGTATGGAGAATGCCTGGCTGAAGAGTCCTTAATATAACTACAACTTTGTGAGCTTGAGCTGATGATGATGAAAATATTATGTTACTGCATTTAAAGAATTCCTGTAAAGGTTTGAGATGTATGTCTCTAGTGACACTATCTAAAACAGTCTTCCTCTATATTTCTACCCCAGCAGAACCTCTTAAATAAATTTCAGGTTTCAAGGAATGCCTACTAAAACCAATTTATCGGGGGTCAATGGTAAAAATGCCCATTATAGCATTGGTTAGAACACCACCCTTCAATACAGATAAAAAAAAAATGGTATTGTGCCACTGGATTTACCAAGTGGTGTTGGTCGTGCAACTTTTCAGGCAGCATCTTATGGTAGGGCAGTCAGACAGTACTTAAGGAAACCCTAACAACCTCTTGAGGAACCCATAGTTTCCATGGAACCCTAGTTGAAAATGGCTGACCTAAAGAAACATGTGGTGGACTAAGCTGTGGCTAAAGGCAATGGAAAATTGGGCGTTGAGTGTTAAGTATGCATCGTGTAGTCACACTGAAAATCTACCTGTCCCTAAGCCCTGTGGAGGAGTCGGAATCACCTGGAGAAGGATATATGAGATCTCCTTGGATAAGCCTAGAGAACAAAAGGTGAAACCAGAGTCCTGCCTGCAGAGAAATAAATTTCATAGGGTTACATTCTAGGAAGCCCTCTACTCAGTATGCCCCTGTGCGCTGCAAGATGAAATTGTGCACACTAGTTTAATGTTTATAGAGCTATAGGCTCCTGGTGGTATGACTGATCATGATTCAGGGTATATGTTTGAGACATTCCCTCGTCCAACTTTAACCTGCCACTATTTACTCTTGGCCCTTTCCATTAGGTCAACCAGTGAGGTGAGCCCACATGAACATTATGTTATGGGGCTTTGAGATTTCTAGCTGCACTCCTGTGTGTTAGTTAGAATTGTCAGTTAAACTCTGGGGAAAATAAAATCCTCCTTTGCAGTGGGCTGCTCCTGTACTGCAAGGATTAACTTCTCATTTAGGTCTAGGGGACAAAAAAGGCAATTTTACTTACCTGATCCTGCAGGATCCTCTGATTTGTAAGACTCGTCCCTGCAAACTCTTCTTCCCTATGCTTCAAGAGCTGGATACCCTTTTAAATCATTAAGACCAATGCACAGCCCTGCACTGGACATAAGGACAACAAGGAACAATCCATTTTCCAAGCATAGGGCAGTAGAGGAGTGTCAACTGTTTGGGGAGCAGAGGATCAGGTAAGTAGAAGTGTTTTTAGCAGCGTCCTGAACGTAAACGGTGCATTGAGCTTTTGTCTGAATTTGTCCTATTTAGAAATTATTAAATTTAGCAGTCCATAGGAACATACACACTGCGTCGGCTGTACACCCTGCATGGTGTCCATGGTCGCCACTGCCACTGGATGGATGTAGGAGCAGGAACCCCAAATACTGTGCAGGTCAAGACATGTTGGCTACCTTGAGCATAGATATTTGGAGATGACGTCTCTTTCTCGTGGATCTGTGGGGGAACTGTAACAGATATTGTTTGTTAACAAAAAAATAAAAATAAAAAAAAAGTATACAGTTAAAAGCCATTTGATAAATACAGCCAGTTATTAATTAAAGTATTACTAAACCCAGGACCCTGCATTCACTGTATCTGGTCTCCCACAGTACACACAACATGGAAATGCAGTTATTTTAGTAAATGAAAACTGCTAAGTACCTTTCTTTATCAGCAGTTAGAGCAGTCTTGTGACTTCTATCAATGTCCTGCATAGCAAATGTTAACGCTTGTAGGAGGAGTTTTCATTATCCTGTAGGAGGATGTAGAACCCCTGACCTCTGTCTGGAGAGTGCTGATTGGCCCTGTGTTGATCACATGCACTCTCCTAAAAAAAAAAAAACACCTCTCTAGCAATACACAGCAAACTGAGCATGTGCTGAGTGACTCAACACGATATGTCTTATCAGGAGATAAGAGGGGGACACTGGAAGAAGGGGAGGATCAGAGAAGTCAGGATAAAATGGCCTTTTTACACAATGCAAAGGATTAACCCCTTAGGTTCCACAATGAGTATAACAAGCATGTTTTACTGCATATACAGACTGACAGATTTTACTGTTGTGGGTTTAGTAACACTTTAAGATAGCTGCACTATGTGCTCATCCATGGAGTAAGTAAGACTGGCCATACACAACTCATATTTTAAGCTGTGGGTGGCCTTATTGGCACCACCAAATTCTAATCTGAAAATTCAAGCAGAAAATTCTTAGACAACATGGGGTTTATTGACTAAAGCTGGTGAGTGCAAAATCAGGTTCACTTCTGCATAGAAACCAATCAGCTTCCAGGTTGTATTGCCAAAGCTTAATTCAGCAAGCCTAGGTTAGAACCTGATTGTCTATCATGCACAGGTGCACCAGATTTCCCCTAACGTGACTACAGCCAATCAGGTGCCACCACTATTCAACTCACAGCACCCATGGTTGTCAGAATGCAATAGATGGCAGGGGAGATTTAGTATGGATGTGGGAATCCCAATGTGCTTAAGCTCATTAAATCAAGGGTGTATGCTAACTTATTTTGGTGAGGTCTGCATACTTGGCAGTGCTACATGTCCTGCTTTAATGAGAAATGCAGCCAGTTTCACAAGATACATGCAAGCCTCGAATGACTTTTAGTACAAAATGTTCATGTTTGATGGGAGCATTTCTGTAATAAATAATTGCTGCAATTGGAGTATAAGCCAGAGAGCAGTCACAAGCTAGTGAACAAGCTTCACAATGACTCAATTTGTGCATGTCGGAATAAACCCTTAGGTATTTAAAAAAATGTTTTAATGTCAGAATAAATTTACAATGATATTGTTTTTTTGCGTCAAAGCTGACAATTACAATAGCCCTTTTATTACGATGAGAAGTCAAACAAAAACAAAAGGTGTAGTGTCTAACATCAGATGTCCCTTAGCGGATACAATCAGAAACATGTGTGTGACAAGGCACGACAGAGCTAGGGGGTGATAGAGAACACAGGTTCACTGGGGAATTTTTAGACGAAAAACATGAAGTTTCCCAGAAGACCTCAATATGTAGGTGTGGAAAATGTGGAGTTTATGGTGGATATAAACCCTAATTGAATATGACTTAGTTTGCTTAATTGCCGTGTATCATAAATCCTTGCCTGTGTTTTAAATAAAATAAAAAAGGAAAATTCTACATACATGCACTACAACCATTTTTTAGGATCCAGAGGGTGACAACGGCGGGCCATGTCTAAGGATAGCCATATACTATACAATTTGCTTGCAATTTTCTGTCCAATTTCTGCCCAATTTCCTTTAGATTTACCTCCAACTATTTAGTGCAAGTGCCTGCCTAATTGGATACAATTGAAAGTGTTGTTAGGTTTGACCTCATATTATATGGTTTTTGGTAAATCTAAAAAAAAATTCTCAAAAAAAATTGTATAATGTATGGCCAGCCTATGTGATGTGTTGGAACAGCTCTCTTTTCTCTATCAGAAGCCCATATGACAGAATGACTATATAGGAGCACAACTGGGAGATCAGGACAGAGCATTGTTACTCTATAACTGGAAGATTGTGAAAAAGAACCCAAATGGCAGGATTGACAGGTGTTATTTTAGTGAAAGCTACAGAATGAAAATAATCAAAAGTTGCTTTTGAAAGTAAAGCCCAACTCCAGGAAGTTAACAAAATCTACCCTTGCAGTGGGAGCCCCATTCTCATCGCAGTGCAAAGGTTAAAAACATATTAAAGTAGAACTATAGGCAAACCTTTTTTTTTCATTTTGGATAAAGTAAGAGAGGGTTATAACCCCGTGTTTAATCTGTGTCCCATTGGAGAGATTTACCTTCATTTCCTGTTCCTTAGCTAAAACAGAAAGTGAGAGGAAATCCCTGCAAATTGAGGGAATCCCTTAGGCTTCATGTACAGGAGCAGATCCTGAACTCGAGTTTAGGAGCTTTTGGCATTTTTTTACCAAAGCTCCTAAACTCAACTCTGTAAAAGCCTATGTGTCCATGTATACTGGAATTAAAAAAAAATTGATAGTAGTAATGGCGGCGATCAGCGACTTATAGTGGGACTGTGGGCGGGCATTCTGGCACCTGGGATGGAACTAACTGCCACTTACATCCCAATTACACTAATACAGTGATCAGTGCTATTAAAAAGTACTGACACTGTACTAATGACACTGGGCAAAAAGGGGTTAACATCTGGGGCGATCAAAGGGTTAACTGTGTGCTGTGTATGTTTCACATTATGTGCTGTGTGTTTTACTAGGGAGACAAGCTGCTCTGTATTGCTCTGCTGTGCAAAGCAATACAAAGCAGCCTGTTCGTGCTTTACACATAGACCTCTCCCCTTTGATCATTCCTTGGCGATCGCTGGGTGCCGGCGGGAAATTTCCGGCCAGGACCCAGTGACGACAGCTGTAGCCACCAGTGGTGGCGCAGGCAGGGCAGCATGCACGCTCGCCCCCTACCCGGAAATGCAAAATCACATATATATGTATGATTTTGTGCAGCCCTGCCGCCCTGTAGCAGTAGATCTGCTATAGGGCAGCAGGGAAGCAGTTAAAGGATAAGTTCACATTTCGTAACATGTTACATGTTACACCCATATTCAGGGTGTAACATGTAATTTGTAACATGTTATGATCAGACCTGCCCCCGCCCCCCCTTGCTCCCTACTTTGACAGCTAGCGGGGGATCTACTCCCCCCTCGATAGCTGTCAAATTGAAAAAAAAACATGTTCTGTGAATGAGAGGCTACAAGTCCTGACAGCCTTAGCGGCTGTTGGCTTGTAGTCCTCAGTGAACTACCACGGCACTGAGGAGCACCGTGGTACTTCATAAATTTTTCCTGTCAGTATACCTGCTTGCCCGTACATCCCGTATGGGCAAGCAAATATACTGACAGGTCTGCAGACCTGCATAGCACCAGTGGATCTGCTGATCACTGGTGCAATGCATTACAGGCTCCTGCAGACAAAAATAATAAATGCACATTTTTTTTACCTGAAAAAAAATGTGCATTTAATATTTTTTACTAAACAGTGAACTTATCCTTTAAGTGGTACCCTTTAATAATCAAAATTGCATATTGAAATCTGAAGTATTGCATTTCCCCATTTTAGATAAGTAAAGTAGGGAAGGGTTAAAATCTCTGTAAATTTTTTCCCCATCCTTGTCCCATTTGAGAGGTTTACTTTCATTTCATGTCCTGTAGGCACAACAGAGAGGAAATCTTAAAGTGAAGGAAATCCTCTCCTCACACAGCTGTCCCTGCGCAAGTGGTCCCAATGGAAGATTTCCTCTCTTTTCCTGTTCTAGTGACAGCTCAGCATTTTGGATTTTCACTCACTTTCATTCTTTGTGTCAGTGGTTAGCAGGACTTACAGTATACAGCGGAAAATTATCAGCTCAGTGCAGAGCCAAGAAAGAGGGTGCCCATAATGTAGCATTGAGGAGGCGCCTCACACCGCCGGAGCCTCACGAAGGTCCGGCAGCTCATCTCCACGTGGATGATACTTATGTTTTTATACAATAAATCATTAAATACTACACTATGGGCACCCTCTTTCTTGGCTCTGCGCTGTGCTGATAATTTTCAGAATTGCATGTGAAGGACAGCTGCAGAGCAGCTCCGAATACAGAGGAGGGAGATTCTTTCCAGGCTGCACATCCAATCCACCTTAAAGGGGACCTCTGGCAGATTATATCATGTATACAAATTGCGTATTTATAATGCGCATTTGGTGAGTGCGCATTTTTACTATATTCCCTGCACTTCACCGAACAGAATATTATCACATGGAATGTATTTGAGATCACCTGAGAATCGGATCTTCACATCTAAAAATGTCAGAATTTCACCACCACATGAACTTTTATCCATTTATATCAGGGGTCCTCAAACTACGGCCCGCGGGCCACATGCGGCCCGCCGAGGCTATTTATCCGGCCCGCCAGCAGCGGCGGGACAGGAAGGGACACTAAGTACAGGGGCGGGCAGGGGGCTGCTGTATCTTACCTGGCTCCGGTCCCAGTCCCACGACGATCCAGTCCAGGAAGCGTTGCTCCTTCATTCACTCTGGCCACTCCCTCACTCCTGCTGCTTGGCTCGCCTCCTCACGGGTGATTGGGCGCCAGAACTGTAGCTCAGAAAAGGCACACAGGCGGCCAATCACCTGCGAGGAGGCGGAGACGAGTGGCCCCGCGAACATCGAGTGAGAGAGAGACCGGAGTGAAGAAGGACAGCTGACAGGTAAGTGTGCCGTGCTGATGGTGCTGCTGCAACCAGGTATGCTGGCTGCAGCAGCACCATGCTGGAGCAGGGGTCAGCAAGTTAAGTGTCATTGGTGTCAGTGGAGGAATATTGCCCCATCATTGGTGTCACTGATACTAATAATGGGGCATTATTCCTCCACTAACACCAATGATGGGGCACTATTCCTCCCCCCCCCTGACACCAACGATGGGGCACTATTCCTCCCCCCAC